TGCAGAAATAGAAGTATAATGATGTACACCTGAAATTTATACAATGTTATAAACCAATGTTACTGCAATAAACAAAAAATTTAAAACAAAAAAACATGACATCTCAAAAAAATTGGCATGAATTACATTTAATAAGTACATAGATGATACTTTTAAAACCACTAAATATGTTAAAAATAGTATCAGTTCCTGAGAGACTGCTGGTTGAACATAGTCTCCAAAGCAAGTCTGCTGTAATAGTTTTCCTTCTGCTCCACTCATCACCCACACTTCAGTAAGACATGCTTTGTCATGTGCTTGGCATATTTTATGGTGGTGTTCCTCAAGCACTGTCATGAACTAATGAATCTTCATAATGGCTTACGTTGATACGAGGAATAAATCTTGTGGTGAATTTCAGGATGCCTAAAGAGGTCAGGTTGAGATATGCAAGGACTGCAGGCTCTTGAGAGCTGTGTCAGAGAAAGCCCAGGTGATCAAGACATTTTTGTGGCTGTGCAGGCGGGACTGAGGCTGTGGCCATTTTGTCCAACAAAGGACAGGTATGGGAGGAGGCAGGTATTCAGATCCAGAGTTACTCCACTGCAAAGCATCTTGGACAGTCAGCCCGGCTTGGCACCCAGATCTGTTTTATAAATTAGCATGTTTTTATTTTTCTCTATGTTGATTTCATGACTGACTATCTCTTGCTTCTGGCATATCTATTGTATTCATTACATTTCTGGAATTTTTAAAGGAGTCCTGATAAAGACTTGCAATTCTTCCTGGCTGGTAGTGACAACTTTTGAAGTTACCAGCAAGCTGTTTTTCCACCACTGGGAGTATTTACTTTACTGTTCATTGACTGACTGACAGACTTACAGAAGAATCTTGAGCTTAAAGGGGACCATCAAGAATAAATCATTAAACAAAACTTTTGGAAATCCTATTATGCTCCGGATCTCATTTTCCGTGCCTTGGAGATTACCTTCCTCAGCAGTGGCACTCAAACTTCAGTGTGAATCAGGATTACCTGGAAAGCTCGTTAAACACAGATTGCTGGGCCCTACCAGAGTTTCTGATTCAGTAGGTCTTGGGTAGGGCCTGAGGATTTGCATTTCTAAGGAGTTCCCAGGTGCTGCTGCTGCTGCTCTAGAAAACCACTGCTCCAGAGTAGCTCTGTGCAATAGACATTTAATAAGAGCTACAAATGTGAGCCGCATACGTAATTTTAAGTTTTCTAGAAGCCATAGTAAGAAAAAGAAACAGGTGAAATCAATTTTAATTACATGTCATTTGACCCAATAGATCCAAAATATAGTCATATACTGCGTAACGATGTTTCCGTCAATGACGGATCTCACATACGATGGTGGTCCCATAAGATTAGTACCGTATAGCTTAAGTGTGTAGTCAGCCATACCATCTAGGTTTGTGTAAGTACACTCTATGATGTTCACACAATGACAATATCACCTAACCACACATTTCTCAGAATGTATCCCTATCGTTAGGCAACGCATGACTGTATTATCATTTCAACATTTAATCAGTATTACAAAAGTTATTAATGACTTATTTTATTATCTTTTTGGAGGATTAAATCTTCAAAATCTAAAAAAAAAAAAAAAGAAAAAAGAAATACCATATGATCCAGCTATTCCACATCTGGGTATTTATCCAAAGAACATGAAAACACTAATTCAAAAGGTATATGCACCCCTATGTTCATTGCAGCATTATTCACAATAGCCAAGACGTGAAAGCAATCCAAGTGCCCATCAATGGATGAATGAATAAAGATGTGGTATATATGTACAATGGAATACTACTCAACCATAAAAAAGATGAAATCCTGCCATTTGCAACAACATGGATGGACCTTGAAGGTATTATGCTAAGCAAAATAAGTCAGACAGAGAAAGACAAACACCGTATGATTTCATTCATATGGGGAAGATCAACACATAGACAAGGAGAGCAGATTGGTGGTTACCAGAGGGGAAGGGGGTAGGGGGAGGGCAAAGGGAGTACAGGGGCACATGTGTATGGTGATGGATGGAAACTAGACTTTTGGTGGTGAACACCATGCAGCTATACAGAAGCCAAAATATAATGATGTACACCTGAAATTTACACAGTGTTATAAACCAATGTGACCTCAATAAAATAATACATTACAATAAAAAAGTGTCTTTTCTCCCATTGCATTTTCACCACAAAGTTTTGCATCAACCCAGGGTAGCTTGGCGTGATCTCCGAGGTATATGTCAGGAGCGAGCCAGAGACCAGGTGTGAACCAGCGGAGAAGGCAAGACTCTTTCAGGGACCTCTGGCCCCAGCCTGTGTAAGCCTGTATTGTGCACACTGCCTCAGGTGGCTGCTTCAGGAAGTGGGTATCACTTCAGCCATGGACAGTTTGCCTCCCAGGCAATGTTCACATCATTAGTAGTAAGATATAACGTCATGAACCGCCTGATATGATGTGATGAGAAGAGCACATCACCTCTGTGGCATTATTGCCAAAAATCCATAACCTCAGTCTAATCGTGAGGAATCATCAGATAAGCCCAAATTGAGAGACATTCTACAAAATAACTGAACTGTACTTTACAAAAGTGTTAAGGTCATGGAAGACAAGGAAAGACTGAGGAACTGTCACAGACTAGAGGAGACTAAGGAGGCATTACAATTACATGTAATGTGTAATCCTAGATTAAATCCTGGAACGGATAATGGTCTATAGTTTAGCTAATAGTATTGCACCAATGTTAATTTTCTGATTTTGATAATTATACTATTGTTATAGAAAATGTTTAGGAGGATCTGGATAAAGGATATACAGGAACTCTCCATACTATTTTTGCAACATTTCTTTAAGTCTACATTTATTTCAAAATAAATATTTAAAGATTTTTGGTTTTGTCGTTGTATATTGAAAACCACAGTGGCTTCACCTTTGAGATTCCAGGGCCCATCCCAGGATGCCTCCCGGGATGCTAGGGACTTCCAAGCCTGGAAACATGGCCATGAGATTGACTGAATATTGGGCTTCCCGTGTTCAAGACCATCCTCTGACCCACCATACTACTCTACTTTCCAAACATTATGACTATGTCCCCATTTCGTTTAATTATATTTATAGCTTCACATTTATTTATTTATTTATTTATTTATTTATTGTGTGTGAGGAAGATCAGCCCTGAGCTAACATTCAATCCCAATCCTCCTCTTTTTTTTTTTTTTGCTGAGGAAGATTGGCCCTGAGCTAACATCCATGCCCATCTTCCTATACTTTTATATGGGATGCCGCCACAGCATGGCTTGACAAGCGGTGCATCGGTGCGCGCCCAGGATCCGAACTTGCGAACCCCTGGCCGCCGCAGCGGAGCCTGCGCACTTAACTGCTTGCACCACCGGGCCAGCCACAATAGCTTCACATTTAAAGGCTCTAGGAGGGCCGGCCCAGTGGCTTAGCGGTTAGGTGCGCACGCTCTGCTGCTGGCTGCCTGGGTTTGGATCCCGGGCGTGCACCGACGCACCGCTTCTCTAGCCATGCTGAGGCGGCGTCCCACATACAGCAACTAGAAGGATGTGCAGCTATGACATACAAGTATCTGCTGGAGCCTTGGGGGAAAAAAAAAAAAAGGCTCTAGGGGCCGGCGGGTGGTGAAAACGGTGAAGTGCGGACGCTCCGCTGCGGCGGCCAGGAGTTCGCAGGTTCGGATCCCGGGCGTGCACTGACGCACCGCTTGCTAAGCCATGCTGTGGCGGTGTCCCATATAAAGTAGAGGAAGATGGTCACAGATGTTAGCTCAGGGCCAATCTTCCTCAAGAAAAAAGGGGAGGATTGGCATCAGATGTTAGCTCAGGGCTAGTCCTCCTCACACAAAAAAATTAAAAATAAAAAAATAAAGGCTCTAGTATATTCGTTCCATCCAAGGCATGTGCTATAATTAATTTACCCTACTCCCTTCTGTTGTTCATTTAAGTGGTCTTCAAGCTTTTCCTACTATAAATAATACTATGATGAATCTCATATAAAAATCTTTTTGCACATATTCAATGATTTCTTTGGGATAAATTTTTAGCAGATTTGTAGTATCCTTTTTTATGACTATTTGTTTAAGTATCAATCTTCTACTTTACAAAGTCCCGAGTAGTGGGGACTACAGGCGCGTGCCACCGCACGTGGCTTTACAAACTCTTAAGGTCTTACACAAGAGGAATCTGTCTCAGTAATCTTTTGAAGCCTTAGAACCTGGATCTCACAACATATTTAATATCAGTAGGAAATATTTTTTAAAAAATATTCTTTTAAGTGTCATTGTTTCCCATTGGACTCCAAGCTTCTAGAGAGGAGGAGGTCTATTTTATTAATATTTGAACCCAGAGCTTGTTGAGTATTAAATGTAGCATCGGTAGGCACCATTTATATGTCTATTATTTATTATTGTACACAAACTAGCACTCACAGATTTTTTCCTTACTGATTTATTTTACCTACACTTCCCACATCAGTAGGGCACGGTAACGTGTACACAGTAGGCGATCAATAAATACTTGTCAAACGCCTACACGAAGGAATGAATACCTGGCAAGAATGAATCCACCTACCACGCCTACCTCCCTGAAGAACTACATTTCCCTGTACGCTTGGCGCGACGCGCTCCTACGAATTAAAAAGAGCGACAATTACTTCCTACCGACCCCTATCTGCCTCCGCCTGCCGATGCCGCAGTGTTTTATGGGAAAGGTAGTTCTAGCACGCGTTGTCCGCCCCCGGAAAACTGAGCCCAAACTAAACTTCCCAGCAAGCAGCGGGCCGGCCTGGGAAGAGGGGAAAGATGGCAGACGCCGAGGAAGGAGTTTTGCGGCTGGCGGGAGCCTCCACTGCCCCAATTTCATTCAGCTTCAGTCGCACGTCCGCCCGGAGACGGCTGGCGGACCCGGGAGATGGCGCAGGTGCAACTCCGGAGGAGAAGGATTTCTTGAAGACCGTGGAAGGGAGGGAGCTGCAAAGGTGAAGTGCCGGGTCTTTCATCCTTTGGAAATCCGTGCGGTGGGTGCAAGCAGGAAGGTGGAATCTGAGTTGATTGTGTTGGTGACAGTGACCTGAAAAGGCTGAAGCACAGCCTGAGGAAATTCGTGGAGGCAAGAAGGCGAGAGGGAAGGAGAGGTGGGGAAATATAGCCTGATGGCCTTGGGGATTGAGAAGAGAGAATGTATTCTTGAGGAGTGTCTTTAGGACATGGGGACCCTGAGGTGTGTGCGTTCTGAGAGCAGGAAAGGAGGGGAGAATGACAGGACCCCAGCGTCTCAACTGAAGTGGTGCTTCTCCGATAGGGGGAACGGGACGGAGCAGCAGATTCAGGTTGGGGGAGTCCATCATCAGCTTAGTTCGGGAAGGAGAATCTGAGGGAGGTACTTCCAGAAGAGAATCAACCATCCAGGAGGCTGGCGTGGAGTCTGGAGCTGGGGAGAGAGTCTGGGCTGAAGATGGTGATTTGTGGGTCATTGTGGAAGCCATGGAAGTGGGTCTTGGGAGGAACAGAAGGTCCAGGACTGAGGACTGATTCCTCAAAAGCACTGACATTTAAGAGTTGGAGATGGGGAAGAGAATCTGAAGAAAGCACCATCAGAGATGTAACTGGAGAGCCAGACAGGAGAACGGAGGGTGTGGTCCATGGGGTTGGGGGTGAGTTTGGTTCTTGTGTTTTCTCTGAGTGAAGCGGTGTGGCTCAGAACCTACTGACAATGCTACTCTCCCAACTTCACCCCTCTGTGTCCACGTCAGTGTGAAGCCTTCAGAAGCCCCCAAGGAACTCATCATCCCTTTGATCCAGAATGGCCATCGCAGGCAGCCACCGACCCAGACCCCTAGGCCATCCACAGATACTGAGGCCTTGGTGGATGGGGTGCTGTCCCAGGCTGTGAAGGAGCTCATTGAGGGTGAGTGATCTCCCCTTTGCCTTGCCCCAGTGAAGGAAGAAGGGGAGGAAAATGGAAGGATAGAGTGAGACCTCATTGCTCCCTCCCATTCTTCCTTAGAATCCAAGAAGTCTCTGGAGGAGAGAGAGAATGCGGGTGTCGACCCCACGCTCGCTATCCCCATGATCCAGAAAGGATGCACCCCCAACGGGGAAGAGGCAGACGGCGAACCCCGGGCTGAGACAGTGAGCTGGCCCCAACCCCTCTCCTGCCTCAGCCTTTCTTTGCCCTGTCTGCCAGGCTTGCCTCCCTGCACACAGCAGGGAAAGTCTGTGTGTACTAGCCACCTGCTGCCTATCCCCTCCTCCTTCCATCTTTTTTGGAAGCATTAACAAATGAATCCAAATACTGAGGCGTGAAAAAGTAGTTGGATTCTGGGATTATCTGAATGAGATGAGGAGTAAAGGAAACAGGAAATATAAAGACCCTGAGGATAGACTCTTCCTGGGGTGTTTGAGGAACACCAAGGAGACAAGTGTAGTTGGAGTGGAATGAGTGAGGAAGAGGAGGAGTAGATGAGGTCAGAAGTGGGGGGCTAAACCAGGCAGGGCATTGTGGGCCATGGTGAGGACTTTGGCTTTTACTCTGAATGAGATGAGAGCCATGGGAGGGCTCTGAGCTGAGAAGAGATGAGACTTATGATTTGACAGGATCTCTCTGGCTGCTGTGAGCAGGACAGACTAGTAAGCAGAAGTGGAAGCAAGGAGACCAGTAGTCCAGGCTAGAGATGGTGGTGACTCAGACCACAGTGGTAGGAGTCAGGCCTGGAAGGACAGGTAGGGTTTAGTGAGACAGGGAAGAGCAGGATGAGTACTCCTAATGGCAGCGATGACCCAAACAATGGTATGGTGGCAGGAAATCAGTGTGGTGTGTGTCTGTCAGTGAGGCAACTTGTGGTGTGTCTGGAGGGACTAGAAAGAATTGAGGGAGTGATGATGGGAGGTGATAACCGGAGAGGTGAGGGGTGTGTCTACAGAAGTAACCAAGTCTGTCTTGCATACCCATAGACCCCACTTTCACCTCTTCACTCACAATCTTTTTGCAGTGCTTCTTTGGAGCCCAGTTCTATAGCCCCAGACCACCTTCTCTTTCAACTGAATTGTTTTCATCAGCCTTCAGATGTCCTCTGGTTTCTTTTATCTGAAAAAAAAAAGACTTGCACTTCACTCTCCATTCTGTTCCAGTTTGGTCTCATTTCTCTGATCTTCCCTCCTCTCGCAGCCTTCCACATCTGAATTGATCACAGTTCCAGCCACCCTTCCCCTCACTCAGCCTAAAACCTTAGAGTCACCCTTGACTCCCCTGTTTATTTTATACCCCATAGACAACCTGTCAGCAAAATCCTATTATCTCCCTTTTCAAAATACATCCAGAATCTGACCACTTCTCACCATCAGCACCACCACCACTCTGGTCTGAGCCACCAGCATCTCTCATCTGGACTCTTGAAGTTACTTCCTCACTCGTCCGCCTTGTGGCTGCCACCCTCTTGTGGCTCCTGCCCAGCTCTCCTGATTAACCTCTTACCACCCCTCTCTGCCTCCACATCTCTGTTTCAGTCAGGTTGACTTGCGGGATGCTCTTCATACATACCAGATCTTGTCCTCCTTTAGGGCCTTTGCTATTACTGTTCTCTCTGCATGGAACACTCTTCCTTCTCATATCCTCGGGCTCCCTCTGTCATCTCCTTCTGCTCTCTGCTCAGATATCAACTCAGTGACACTCCCTTCTTCATCCCTCTGCGTGCCCTTAAGCTGCATTATTTTTCTTCATATAACTCACCACTACCTGACGTATCGTGTTTTATGTCTTTTGTTTATTGTGTGTCTCCATGCCTAGAACATAAGCCCCATGAGGGCAGGAATGCTTCTCTTTTTTGTCCAGTGCGGTACCTGGCACAGAATAGGTGCTTCATAAATATTTGTTGAAGGACTGAACATGGAGTAGTAAAGTGAGGGATAGCAAGAGGAAATCAAAACTCACCCTTGAGCTGACTGGAAATGAGGCGTTGAGGGTCACCCAGCAGGTGATAGCAAGGGCACTTCAGGGGGCCCACCATAAGCCAAGCCTGACCGTCCTTCCTCTGCCTCAACCCGTAGGTGCCCGAGGAGGCCGATTACGAGGCAGTCCCTGTGGAGGCCTACGGGCTGGCCATGCTGCGAGGCATGGGCTGGAAACCTGGCGAGGGCATTGGTCGCACCTTCAATCAGTGAGTTCTGGGGTAGGGGCAAGGGGACAGCAGATGGGGCAGTGAACAAGACCCTGGTTACCACCCACCCAGAACCATCCAGGCAAAGAGAGGGCACATTACCACCCTAAGTAATTCAGTAGCCCCTTCCACTGCTGTTTCAGCCTCCTATTTGTGCTTTGAAACTCCATGACAGGATCCCATTTATGTAAAGATGGCCTCTCTGGGCATCAACTTCCTCATCTGAAAAATGGGGATAATAACAGTACTGACTCTCCGGGTCTGTCGTGAGAATTAAGTGAAATTATACACATAAAGCACTCACAGCAGGCCCTGGCCCCAAGTAAGCATGGACTAAACTTTTGCTGTTATCACACGGCCTTCCAGTCCCTTCTCTGCAGTTGTCAACTCCAAAGAATTCTGAAAACCAAACTTTTTTTTCATAAACCATTTGGCAGCCAAACATGACCTGAATTGACATTGAGTATTTTATAGTCTGTCTTTCCTGCTTGGTGTGAATATTTGTATGATTTCCCCTGTAGAAATATTAGTGTATTTGTTTACACTGTAGATACTATGTAATGGGTGGTACGTGCAGCATGTTATTAGCTTGAACCAAATGAAATTGCTATTTCTCTAGGTCAAAAACAGTCCTAATATGAGATCGGGAAGGATATTCTTGAGCATATTGATAGGGTGGGATTTGGGCATTCAAGACGGTTGTATCCCTCCCCAACAAGCCCATCCTCTCTGCTCCCTGCAGAGTGGTGAAGCCCCGTGTCAACTCACTGAGGCCCAAGGGGTTAGGTCTGGGTGCCAACTTGACTGAGGTCCAGGCCCTGGCCCCCACTGGCCCCCATCGCCTGTCCAGGCCAGATGAGGAGCACGAGAAGGATAAGGAAGACCAGCCCCAAGGACTGGTGCCTGGAGGAGCTGTGGTGGTTCTTTCTGGCCCTCACCGAGGCCTCTATGGGAAGGTAAGGAACCTGGAGCCCAAGACAGGCAGCAGGGAGCATTGATGTGTGGGTCAGAGGGAGGAAGAATTGGGTTTGGGGTGGAAAGGCTAGAAGTCCTTGTCTTTCAGGCCTGCCTGGCCTGTTGCCTCATTCGGTAACTCAGGACCACTTGCTGGGCCTTTCTGAGCCTCAGTTTCCAACTAAAAGGAAGAGAATGCCATATACTACAAGTCCCTGAGGATTAAATGCTTAAAATATCTCTGTGCCCCACAGTCTGGTGGGGGAGGCACAGGGACCAGGCTTATTGGAGGTAAGGGTGGACAGCTTGGTCCTAGGGCTGTGGCTGGAGTCCACTCAACCCTTGCCTACCTTCTTCCCCCCACACTTGAGGTGGAAGGCCTCGATCCTGACAATGTCCGGGCCGTGGTTCGTCTGGCCGTGGGGAGCCGCGTGGTGACGGTCAGTGAGTACCACCTGCAACCTGTCTCCCAGCAGGAGTTCGACAAGAACTCCTTGGATCTCAGTGAGTGAGCCTCTTACCTGGCTGGGGGAGTTGGAGAAGCATTCCTGACCATGGGAGGGCCTGTCTCATCGGGAGGAGTTAGGTCTGCCCAGCAGATGTAACTTCTGGTCGGAGGTCAGGTCAGAGTGAACATAAGTGATTTATTCTGTTTGATTGAAGAAAGGGTGATCTCATAACCCTGAGTCTTTAGCCTCTTTCTGAGGGGAAGAAACAGGTATGGAAACAAATTCCTACCCTTAGGAAGTCTTTGTCTATTTGGGGCAATGAACCTCCCTTTTGCTAGGGAGTGAGAGCAGCTAGGACCAGGGCATGACCAGGGAGGAAGGCATTCTAGGCATGTCGGTAGGATGGGGCAGTTTGGCAGATGGGAGATGGGTGCCAACAGAGCTCTCCAGGACTCTCTCGCCCACACTAGGCAGTTGACTCAGGTAAGCACTGTCAGCACGGGCTGGGTGGTTGAGGAAGGCTTCCTGACGGAGGCCAAGATGGTCGAGAGGAAGAGGAGAGCATTCTAATCGCCCAGGCAGAGTGGTTATGGTGAGAGGGGGCACTTTGGCAGATGGGAGGTGTCTCGAGGCAGAGGTGTGGCCTGAAAGGAGAGAGAGTGAGACACTGAGGCTCTGTCCTGGTTCTCCCCACACCTCTTGAATAGGCCGGGGGAGCAAAAGTTCCCTAGCGCAACAGAATGGAACAGCCTCATCATGGAAGGCCCTCCGAGATCAGGACCTCCACATCCAGCAGGAGGACTCAGAGAGGAAGCGGAAACACCTTCTGGACCGGTGGGACCCTGGGCATCTGGGATGGGGGAAGAGGGCAGGGTGTGGGGAGGCTCCAGCAGTCAGAAAGCTTCCAGGGCGGGCCGGCCCTGTGGCTTAGCGGTTAAGTGCGCGCGCTCCGCTGCTGGCGGCCCGGGTTTGGATCCCAGGCGCGCACGGACGCACCGCTTCTCCAGCCATGCTGAGGCCGCGTCCCACACACAGCAACTAGAAGGATGTGCAGCTATGACACACAACTATCTACTGGGGCTTTGGGGGAAAAAATAAATAAATAAAATCTTTTAAAAAAATAAAAGAAAGCTTCCAGGGCAAGGCAGGTGCATAGAAGGAAGTAGGAATGGCATTATGGGTGGGTTTCACAGCATCGGCAAAGATGGGGCGACCAGAACACACATCTGACTAAGCCCGGTGTCGACCCGCTCTCCACAGACAGGGTGGGCCTGCAGCCAAGAGTGAGAAGGCAGCCCCCAGGCGTCAGCACTGGTTGCACAGGGACCTGCGCGTGCGGTTTGTGGACAAGCTGCACAAGGGTGGCCAGTATTACAACACCAAGGTAGGAGCCCTGCAGCCTGGGGCCCCTTCCTCCCCCAGGGACTGGGCCCCCTTAACTCTAACATTCTCACGTCCCCTGACCCTCTCCCCAGATGACAATCGAAGATGTCCTGAGCCCAAATACCTGTGTGTGTCGGACAGATGAAGGCCAGGTGTTGGAAGGTGAGTCTGAGCAATGGCCACTGGGTTGTTATCATCCTGGAGGCTGACCAAGAAGGCTGTCTTAGGCCAAGAATCTGGCCCAGGCAAAGGCTGGGAGGTTGGGCAGAGTTCAGGTGTTTTGCAAGGCCTAGCATCCTCTAACAGAACATTAGACGACTCTCTGATGGTGATTATCTGAGCCCCTCTTTCCCCATCTGCAAATCAGCATGCAAAGGACCGATTTCTCCCTCTTGTGACGGGTGCCTTCTAGGGATGTGTATTGAACTCCCAGTGCAGGGCAGGGCTTATGACATGCCCACAATAAACAGTGTCTGTTATCGCCACCACCCCTCATCATCCTACCTAAATGCGCCCTTTATAACAGTTAGTGCGGGAACTGCTCCTTAGGTTTCCTCATCTGTGAAATGGGTATGGTGGGACTCCCAGCTGTCAGCAGGGTGCAGAGTGCTCCAGGGAATACAGGAAAGGCCCTTCTGACAGGACCCTGGCTGGGCTGGCCCTTGCTGCAGGCCTCACTCCCCTCTCCTCGTCTGCAGGGCTGAGGGAAGACATGCTGGAGACCCTGGTCCCCAAGGTCGAGGGCAACCGGGTGATGGTGGTGCTGGGGCCACAGGCTGGAAGGGTGAGTCCCAGACCTGCGAATGGAGGGTTGGGGCCTGCAGGGGATGTCCTGGGGTCCGGATTGGCCTTGGTGACTCTACCGGTCCATACCCTAGGTGGGCCGTCTGCTGGGCCGAGACAGAGAGCGGAGCCGGGCTCTGGTGCAGCTGCGGAGAGAGGATCGGCTGGTGGAGCTTCACTTTGATGCTGTCTGCCAATACATGGGCCCCAGTGACTCAGAGGAAGACTGACCTCTGGACCTACTCCCGTCCCCCAGGCTGTTACCAGTTCTGTACAGTGTGAAAAGCCTGCCTTTGTGAAGGTGGGGAGGTCATTGTCTGCCCACACTTGCAGTGCAGCCCTGGGGCAGAGACAGGGCACGAGATGGATGGACCAGAAGGGAGGCTAGAAACAAACCCCATATTTACCAGAAGTTAGTATATAATAAAACCCATTTCAAATACTTAGTAAAAGGAAGATATCATAGATGGTGTGCTGAGCCGTGAGTGGAGGTGGGAGCTGCGCTGATGGGGGTGGGAACCATTCCATTGGTCAGCCCAACCTCCCTGCTCGGGCTGCCAGACAAGTTAAAGGATCCATTTGCTCACAAGCTCACCCTCGGAATGCAGAAGCTGTGAAATCTGTCCCCTGGGCAGATACTAAGGAGTCTGGAACGCCACATCACTGGAAAACTTTCTGAGCAAGAGTCCTGGCAGTGCTTTTACACTTGGTCCAGAGCAGACCCCCAGAGGATGTCTTGAGCCGGTGACAGGAGTCAAGAGGAAGGGAGGCTTCTTCCCACAAATGGGATGTGTTAGCACTACTTTCCAGAGAAGTCAGTTAATTTGGGGACCCCTGTTTTAGTCCCAAAACTTTGGCTTGAAGGTAAAAAGGTTTTGTCTGTCTTGGGTAGAATTTCTCTGGTTGCTCCAGGTAACTGGATTCTCAAAAAAGTTATTGTTAGAGAATCCTCAAACTTTTTCCTGTTTAATGGCCTGAGATACAAAATCAATGAGAAAAGTCAGAGCTTTAGGCACAATTGTTTCTAAATCATCCCCAATCACTAAGTTGTTGATATAATAAGTGGTATTTGAGTTGGATCTAGGTCACTGATACAAACTCCTGGTGCATCAGAACATGGCACAGGGATGGAGAATTTAAACCCTTACCCCTGGAGCAGGATGATGGAGGTTAGCTGCTGTCCTTGCCAAGCAGAGGCAGACTGCTGTTTAGAGCCAAGATGAGCAGGTACAGAAAAACGAGTTGGCCAGATCAGTGGTCGTATGCCCAGTAAGGTATGGGGTGTTCAGAAAATCTTCCAATATAGTAACCCCAACATGAAGTACACTTCCATGGACTGATTTACTTCTTTGTCATCCCTAATTCCAGAACTCATCTGTTTTCAAGATTAGCTAAACAGGGTTGTTAAGGCAGATGGAGGTTCCTCCAGTTTTTGAGTCATCATTGTGATTGCACACATTGCCCCCCAAATTCCTGGCTGGGTTCCATTATTAACCTTGGGGGGAAGAGTTGGGAGTTCTAGAGGTTCCCAATCTGGCATGTCCAGTAGTCAGTTTCCTATGCTGTATGTGCTTCACCCAGTCAAGAAGGCCTCCTCCTTTCTCCAATCATAGTAAATCCATCTTGGTAACACCCTTGAGAAGGCCTGAAAGCTCCCCGGGGAGTGGCACTGGTCCGCTGTGTCTGCCTGCAACATGGCATAACCTGGCAGTTTCAGACAATCCTTCCATCTCCTCCATGCGCCACAATACTTAAAATAGATCTTTCATCAGATTCTGATTTCCTGGAGTTCATGTTTCTCCCAAGCCTGCCTTTGGAAATGGGACCTGAAGTTTTTGAATATGGCTCTGTGTCGAGAACGCCTAATCCTAGGCAGAGGGCCTGGTCCCCCTCAACAGACCATCGGGGCTTTTTGTGCTTTCCCTGAGAGGATGCCTCCTGATCCCTCAGTTTGAGGACAGGGCTCCTTACATTCCAAGAAGTGTGGACAGTATCAGGAGGCTTTCCCAATCTGCTCCTTGTTCATTGGATATAAACAAAGACTTGTTTCTACAGACTCTCTGCGTCTGCGCAGTTGTCTCTCGGCGTGCTGCCTGCCATTTGCCTGCTACCAAGGTTGCCCTTTTGGCCACGGTCACTGCAGCAACAGCTTCTGGGAGCCCATGAATTCTCCACGGACCACTCAGGCTGGGGACCATGACCTGTACAATTTGTCCAGACTGGCTTCTTCCACATCACAGTGACTGAGCAAGATGTGGGTGAAAAAGCATCTGCCTCTTCTGCCAAGTCTCCAGAAGTTTCCCTGGCAGGATGCTGCATCTGTTAAAAACTGTCCAGACACTGAGCCAGGAATTTGTGGCAGCAGACTCAAGAAGCAGCTTCTTTGCGTTTCAGAGAGAAGTGAATTATTTGGGTGATTGGGACTGCTGCCTGTGGCTGAGCTTAGTGGCGAATATATACAGGTCCCCTCTGTTTTCTCACATTCCTTCCTCAGTGGGGGGAATGCTCCCCTCCACTCCCATGTTGGGGCCTCTTAACCTCCACGTTTGTAGCACCAGGCAGAGGGATAAGATATCCAACAACCTGGAAACTCCGTGAGGGGGAGTGAGACCTCACCAACTGTCCTTCTTGCCCCAATTCATTCTACAAGCATCTGTTGAGCTGCTACTGTATGCCAGGTACTGTTTTGCGTGCTAGGGATACAATCGAGAGTAAATCATTCATTCAACAAACATTGAGTCTCTACTATATGCCAGCATGATTCTAGGTACTTGGGATACAGCCATGAGCAAAACAAAGATCCTTGCCCTCGTGGAGCTTCATCCAGTGGGGCTGAGAGATGATAAGCAATAAGCATAAGAAGTAAATTATCTAGTATGTTAGGAGGTGTTAAGAACCAAGGGGGAGAAAACAGGGTAAAAGGAATCTGGTGTGGGCAGATGGCAGGATTCATAGGATGGCCAGGGGAGGCTTTACTGCAGAGGTGACATTTGAGCAAAGATAAGGAAGGAAGAGAGTCATGCAGCTCTCTGGAGACAGTGGTCCAGGCAGGGGGAACAGGAAGTGCAAAGGCCCTACGGGGGCACCATTGCTGGTGTGTTTGAGGAATAGCGTGGAGGCCACCGCGGCTGCAGGGGAGTAAATGAGAGAGGGAGGTAGAAGGTCAGGTCGGAGAGGTACTGTAGTGCTTCGAGGGCCACACTCAGTGTTCTGACTGAGGCGAGAATCACAAGAAGCATCCATGCAGCCACTGCCAAAGAGCACCTGCTGATGCCCCACCACCACCAGGCACACGGCCACACTAAATACACTTGCCCCTCTAGTGCTTTTGTCAGGCTGGCTGATTTCCACTGTTGGGAACTGATTCTCCCGCTGGCTGTCCAGTGGGGCTGCTAGAACTGCCTGGAAGGCTTACCTCTCCATCAATGCCAGTCAGGGTAATTGCCTCAAACTTGGGAAGCATCGCCCTTCCCAGGCCTCAGAGGCATCCTCAGCACCAGACTTTCAGGCACCTTTGACCTTTTACCACTTCTCTGGGAAAGTTATCATTGCCTGAAGATCACCAGACACCACCAGCTAAAGGGAGAAGCACTAAATGTATCCCCGTTTCCCCACAGCATCTCAAAAGAAGACTAAACGCCACAACTTTCCTCACTAATCTTTCGGAAGTTCTGATTTTCCTCATCACCTCATCCCATCCTTGTCTCCAAAAGTGCTTTAAGTCATTAGGGAATTGCAAATTAAAATGAGTTACCACTACACACCTATGAGCATGGCAAAAATCCAACACACTGACGACACTAAATGCTGACAAGGATGTGAAGCAAAAGCAACTCTCATTTATTGCTGGGGAGAATGTAAAATGATATAGCCACTCTAGAAGACAGGCTGGCTGTTTCCTACAAAACTGAACATACTCTCACCATATGATCCAGCACTCATGCTCCTTAGTATTTACCCAAAGGAGTTGAGAACTTATGTCCACACAAAAACCTGCACACAGATGTTTATAGCAGCTTTATTCATAATTGCCAAAACTTGGAAGCCACCAAGATGTCCTTCAGGAGGTGAATAGATAAATAAACTGTGGTTCATCCAGACAGTGGAATATTATTCAGTGCTAAAAAGAAATGAGCTATCAAGCCATGGAAAGATATGGAGGAACTTTAAATGCCTACTAACAAGTGAAATAGGTCAATCTGAAAAGGCTACATACTGGATGATTCCAACTATGGTGTTCTAGAAAGGGCAAAACTATGGAGATAGTAAAAAGTGGTTGCCAGGAGTTAGGTGGGAGGGAGGGATGAACAGGCAGAGCACAGAGGACTTTAGGGCAATGAAACTATTTTGTATGATATTATAATGGTGGATACATGTCATTATACATTTGTCCAAACCCATAGAATGTACAACACCAAGAGTGACCCCTAATGTAAACTGTGGACTTTGGATGACAATGATGTGCCATTGTCAATGAATGTAGGTTCATTGATTGTAACAAATGTACAACTGTGGTGCAGGATGTCATAGTGGGGAAGATGTGTATGGGGAGGAGGGGAGCAGGAATATATTTTCCACTCCGTTTTGCTATAAATCTAAAACTGCTCTAAAAAATAAAGCCTATTCTTTTATTTATTTATTATTTTGTGTGTGTGTGTGTGAGGAAGATCAGCCCTGAGCTAACATCTGCCAATCTTCCCCTTTTTGATGAGGAAGACTGGCCCTGAGCTAACATCCGGCCAATCTTCCTCCACTTTATGTGGGACACTGCCACAGCATGTCCTGACACGCGTTGTGAAGGTGCGTGCCCGGGATGGAATCCGAAACCGGCTGCCAGCAGCGGAGCGCATGCACTTAACCGCTACACCACAGGGCCAGCCCAAGTCTATTCTTTTAAAAAGTGCTTTAAGAATGTTACTGCAATAAACAAAAAATTTTTTAAAAAAAGAATCTTTATGAGGGGCCGGCCCCATGGCGTAGCATTTAAGTGCGCGCGCTCCGCTACCGGCGGCCCAGGTTCGGATCCCGGGCGCGCACCGACGCACCGCTTCTCCGGCCATGCTGAGGCCGCGTCCCACATACAGCAACTAGAAGGATGTGCAGCTATGACATACAACTATCTACTGGGGCTTTGGGGGGGGAAAAAGGAATCTTTATGAAAATTAGAGATACACGCCCCCTTTGCCTGTGCCATGTCCTATTGATAGATTGTTTTCAAAAAGCAATAAGACAAAGATTTAGAGTATCAACAGAAATGAAACAGTCAACAAAGTTGCCTGTGGACATCCAAAGGCATAAGGCATTCTGATCCATTTTTATAACCTAGGTGGCTGAAAACCATGATATCCATAACTTTTCATATTTGGAGCCCTAAGAGATGACTTTTTATGCTCTGTCTCGGAAATATCACAAAGTGACATGCACGTGGAAAGCAATGGTGGTGGCCTATGAA